ATTTTAAATATTTTATTGTTTAAAATTGTTATTATATTTAAAATAATTATAATATTCTTCGGATGGATATAACTAGTTGTTAGTTGTATCGTATATACCAGGGTTAAAATATAAATCTTTCTTATACGATGGTATCACAATTTCGGGGTCAGAAGCCCTGCCCTCTAGTGATTTTAAGTCATCCTCCAATCTCACTATCGTCTAAATTACAAACAATTAAAAATATTAATATAATTATTTGTACACGTTGTTATAATAAGTGGTACGATTATATTCTATCTAGCTAAATACAGTGTTTCACTGAAAGCAATACTTACCTTTTGAAAAATTTCCGACAATTTATAATAACACGCAAATTGTGCGATCGTATGGCTAAATGCCCGTCCAAAATAGGTGTAACTAGCGTTCCCAGAACCTCAATGAATGGCAGGAGTCTCAAGGAATCGGGGTCTGACTCCTGTCTCAAGGAAGGGGTCTTTCCTTGACATGGGATACTCAAGGAATCGCAATATTATAGAATTTATTAATAATTTTGCTTAATTTTAACAGAAAATACTACAAGTACATATAAATATTCCTTGATTAATCGCAAAAACTCATTTAACTTACATAATCAAATTAAAAAATGATTTACACTATTCAATAAATTAATAATGGGTTATGAAACTTAAATAATATGTACCAAATACTAGATAAAGAGCTATATTTACCAATTTAATCAATATTATTATTAGGATTTGTCGTAAACTCTAATTAAAAATTATATAAATATAATCTCAAGGAATTTTATGGAATGATAAAAAAATATTTTATAAAATCTAAAATATAACTAAACCTCCTGGAACAATTTTGTTTCTATAATTCAAATAAAGTATACAGTCTAACATAAGTATCACTAATAAATAAGTTAACAATTGTTTCAGTGATTAAATCAATAATCTATATAATATTATAGTCATAATTATATTACAAGGGTATTTAACAAAATATTAGAAATTTTTCTTAACAAATATGATTAAAAATTAATACTCAAGGAAATCTCAAGGAAATTTTTGAAGACTTTTTAGTCATTCTCAAGGAATTAAGATTTTAGACCTGCGAACGCTAGGTGTAACCCAGACTCTCAATGTCCTTACTGTCCTCACTATATAATGTCTGAGCACCTTAGTAAAATTGAAAAAAGTTAAAATTATATCAATGTATGAAATTTATATCATGCACACTCGAGCCAATCCGGGTCACACTATGAGTGACAAAACTTTGAAAATTTTGACTAATGTTATAATATTTATAGTTTTGTCACTGTTACTGTGGCCCGGATTACAATGTATTCTCATAGACGATGTCATAGTAGGTATATTCATCATATTAAATACTCACCTTTAGCACATGAATAGATAATAAACATGCGCTTATAATCGGTCACTTTTACTTTGTCACCAATTTTAATACTGAATGGTATGCCGAAAATTTTCTTTTCCTTTTCTATTGGCAGTTAAATTAATTAATAGCAATAAATAAATCAATCAATAACCGTGCTCACCGGTACGACAGCAAATAAACACAAAAATCTTTGGTTTCCCCTGTAGCTCCATACATTTTGACTCGGAAAATTTGTCCAAGATGGCGTCAATAGCAAGTTCGTTTTTAGGCTTATCATCATTGCCGCGAATTTTATTATCGTGACCATGGCCAATGAACATCATGAAAAATGCATCGCCATCGTGCTTGGCACTAGCTACCTCATCTAATATAGCGTTAATCTCCTTGTGCGACTTATTCGAATACATTGGTAGCAAATTTTATTATCGTGACCATGGCCAATGAACATCATGAAAAATGCATCGCCATCGTGCTTGGCACTAGCTACCTCATCTAATATAGCGTTAATCTCCTTGTGCGACTTATTCGAATACATTGGTTCGAGTCAGTTTTACACGAACTTGGAAAGTCGGAGAAAATCCTCAAGGCCGAGCAACTGTTAATGCTCACGGAAAGGGGACCCTAACCTCAGGTAAAAGTTGCACACGCATCACAGGCTAGCAAATCTAGTCGATTTGAGCACGGTCAGTTTGATGTCGTTAACGTACGACATTAGGGGTTCGGTTTTATTGTAGCTACGTAGCTTATCGGCCGCACCTTTTTGACCCGATTGCTCGAGTATATCGGCTAATTTGGTGCAATTATCTCGCTCATATGGGAATACGGAAAATATACGTACTTTCTTTTCGCCATCATTAGCTAATTCCTAAACAGTTTTAAAGCAAATACTACTGTTATAAATTGTCATACGTTACAAATTATTACAGCTATTAAAATTAATATAGTTTGTTTCAACACTAATTATTATTAAGGTGATAGTATTAAATGTCATAGAAAATTAAATAATATTGTATGTAAAAATTGAGATTAACCCGAAAAATTAATAGGCACCTGAGGTAATATAGCTGTAAAAGTGACTGCTAATTATACATTATACTAAACTAGTGGTCATAACCTGTATAGCTAAATTATTAAAATATTGTTTTTTTAAATTTTGATTTCCCTTCACCAATAACAAATTAATTAATATCATTATTAATATATTAAAATGGATAATATAAAATAAAACCCAAATGCCAAACGCTACTAACTGTACATACTTATTTAATAACTGTTTTATACAATATAACAAATTACAAAATGAATATTATTTAAATTTATAGTACCACAGTAAATTAATCGTATATTCAGTGTATTTTTAACGAATATTAATACTTATTGTGAAACCAAAATTATAAGCATGCTTAAAAATACGTGAAAAGTTTATTTTTAAAAACATACCTTGATATCATCGAGCATGTCCGCAAACGTATATTCAGTGTATTTTTAACGAATATTAATACTTATTGTGAAACCAAAATTATAAGCATGCTTAAAAATACGTGAAAAGTTTATTTTTAAAAACATACCTTGATAAGTAGCTCGTACAGGCGTTCACCCACGAAAAGATTATCGAAGTATTTAAATAGACTGTTAAGTTGAACGAATTATTTAAGCGATTTTAGAAACAATATTTGAAAAACACCCGGGAGAAAGAGGTAATAAAATTTTTATATTACTCATTGAATTTATAATTTAGTCAATTAATTACGATTATTAGCCATATACATTAATTATTAACAATGATGTATTCTATTATATACTGTATTTAATGAGTATTTCACTGATTGTTTGATAAAAGCTATAGTTTCTAAGAATTTACTATGATAATTTAAGCTATTAGAACAAATAAAACTTTTACTTAGCAATTATCTAGTATTTTTATTACATATTATTTATATATATTTATATACTACATACTGTACAATAATAAACACTAATGCACTACTTTTTTAGCAATAGCTTAAATTATAAATTATAAAAATATAAACATTTTCTAACGTACTCTGTATGTGGTTAACTGTATGCTAATTATAAAGCTAAACTAGATTTAATTGTTATAAATATTTTATAACTTATAAGTAATATAATACATGTATAATTACAGTCCAAAATTCACCAAGTTATTATGTATCACTTTATATGCAACAATTATCCAACTAAGTGACTAAATCCAACATTTTACTAAATGTTTACGACAATGAATATGTTAATTAAAATACAGCAAGCAAATATTTTAATAAATAACAAATTAAGATTTAGTTATTTTTCAAATGGTTACTAACATTAATGTTTCAAAATACTATCGATACCTTGTTTATATTTATTAGCAAAAAACATTTTGAAAATTTTTAAAATTAAAATATTAATTTTCGCTGGTTGAATTATAGATGCCCGGGTTAAAATATAAATCCTTTTTATATTGCGGTATTTGAATTTCGGGAACATTCACCTCGTCCGTTTCTAAATCTTGCTCCAATCGTAACATGGTCTAATATAATTTGAAATATAATAAATGTTGACAACTAACTTTATAATTTATGTTAAATACTAATT